TACCTGCAGCTTGATCACTTCTCCCTGGTGGGGTGGCCTTTGCAAGCCACAGAGGAAAAGGATCCAGACAGTCCTGATGAGATTTGATAAGCTAGAGTCAGATGGTAGGAGGGGAAGGGCTCCCCCTTTCTGTGGTCTAAGTGAGGGGAGTGAAGGGAGAAGAGAGAGGGAGAGTGGGATAAGGGAGGGACAATTGAGGGGACTACAATTATGATATAAAGTGAATAAATCATAAAAAAATTAAAAAGTGAAAAATAATTTTAGATTTAAAAGATTGCTTTTATACTATATATATTCACCCTAATGATAAAGTAAGTACATTTTACCTTTTCCATTCCCTTACTAAATCATGAATATCAGTACTGATATTACCTTAGGCATGAAAAACTTTCTTACTATGTGGCAATACTACAAAAGAAAGGTTTTAGAGCTTGTGAGGTAGGCCTTCCTTTAGGCTTATGTTATTCATTATGTGGATAATATTGTTAGCCACTTCCAAATAGGAAGGGCTACAGTCCATACATGACATAAATCAAGATATGCTACATAAAAAGAGTTTTGCACCTGGAAACATACAAAGGTCAGAAACTGCAATACTTGGGACTAATTACTAGAACAATTATTCACACACAAACACACACATACAATCTCCATTCAACAAGACAGTTTAAAAACACTTAACAATGTTCAGAAATTACTATGAAATATTAATTAGCTAGGCCCTGCTTTAGGAATACTGAATTATGCACTATCCAATCTATTTAAAAGTCTAGAAGGAGATACAGTGTTATATAGTCCTTGCATATTATCTTGAGAGGTAAAGTAAGGACTAAACCTATTTGAATCGAGGCTAAATGAGGGATTTGCGTATCACTCGAATCCTTCACTTCCATTGCACTTGTTTTCCCCACCAAATTTTCTTCTGCGGGTGTCATAGCACAAGAGGATAAACCTTTGGAATGAATTCATTTACACCATAAGAACCATAAAACACTAACTGCTTACTGTAGAGAAATTTTAATCCAGCACACCTTTGATCCCTTTGGCTTGAATGCAGACACACCCTTAGCACACACCTTTAATTCCAAACAATGCAGATTACTTTAATTTGCAGAAGGAAACAACCAAGTTGGGTAGTGATATCTTAATTGAGAGGCAGAAACAATGGAGATTTGACAGAAGGAGTCAGAGATAAGATAAACCCAGCTCTCAAGAGGACAGGAAAGAGAAGCTACTTAAGAGCAGTATTGTAGGGTCGAGACAGTAGATAGGGAACAATAGAGAGAGAGAGTAGGGAAGACAATAGAGTAGAGTACAGAAGAGAGTTCAGCAGAGAAGGCAGTACAGTAGAGAAAGGAGAAGGGTTGAATATAGATAATAGAGAGTTCAATAGAGAAGACAGTACAGTAGAGTTGAGATGAGTCAGTCAGTTGAGTTGGGAGTTGATTGAGAGTTAGTGGAGTGAAGTTGAGTTCACGGCAGTTCAGTTGGTGGCAGTTCAGTTTGTGAACCTGAGAGACAGTTTTTACCAGGACAGTTATACAGAGACAGGTCGTACACAGAACAAGCTAGACACAGGTGCAGACAGAAATAGCCAGAGAATGAGAAAGGAAATTAGAACAGATTACTAGAGTTAGTCTGAGGCCAAGCAGAGCAATTCAGTAAGAAAATGAGAGAAGCCAGTTTGAATTAGTCACCTTTGAGAGGAGTTTGAGCCAGAATAGCTGAATTGAATCAGCCAGCCAAAATTCAGAAAGAGCTAGAAAGGGAAAGCTTATTCCGCAGTAAATCTCAGATGCTGAAAACATTCTAGGCCTCGGTTAGATTGTAAAGAGGCTAGAAGCTTCCAGGACAGATGGCGTGAGATCACCACTGAATCTGGCAAATAAAAGTTACTTTTATACCGGATCTTACTCTACTTGCTCAATAGGTAAATCAGGGGAAAACCCTATAGATGTCAAAAAGTATAGGGATCTGACCCTTGATGTTCTATATTACCCTTAATTAACAATAGTTTTTTAATAGCTTTGCAACACTGTGAAGGTTTTCCAATTTCATTTTCAGATTATTATGCAAGGATTGGAAATCATCATCAAGCTAGTAAGCTATGGGATTTTTCTCATATGAACTGGATTTGTGGTTTCAAAACTTGTCCAGTCTTCTCCCATTCCAAAGGCAGTACTTATTTTATTGATTGCTCATCTACAGGTATAGGAAAGATCCATGGTCCAGATATTTATCAGTCTATCAATACTTCTTTTTCTTCAGTCCTGCGAGAGAACTGGCTGTTTTGATTCGTTTATTATGGTCAATTCCAAAACCCTTACCGTATTGTTTCAGATTCTGCTTATATTGTAGAATTATTTCCAGCAACAGAAACTGCTTTTTGTTTTGTTTGTTGTTTTTGCATTCTCTTATGCTCTCATTACTACAGGAACTACCACATCTGCTTAAAATGCACATAATTCTATGTTTATTATTCATAACATTGCACACTCTAACCTTCCAAGTTTTATTGCAGAAGGAAATAATATAGCTGATATATTAACCTGGCTGTTTTTATTTCTCCAGAATAGGAACATCAACATCTATACAATAATGCTAGCAGAATGTGTGTATGATACCCTATCCTGCTTGGATAAAAGTGAAAACTCACACAGGAATGTCATGTTTGTGCTCCCTTACACTGTCATCATCAGATAGGTGGAGTTGATCCCAGAGGTAAATACACTAATAAATTATGGCAGATGGATGTTACTAACTTTGGTGTTGTGCCTCATACACCCTCTATTCATGTTTGCATTCATAAGTGTTTCTAAATTTATTTGCGCTGTACCTCAATCGTCATAGAATGCTTCTGCAGTGTACTCTTCTATTATACAAACTTTTGCCGTTACAGGAGTGCCTACTTCTATCAAATTGGACAATGGACCAGCCTAAAGTAGTAAAAAATTTAAAACTTCAGTAAAGAATAGAATAATAATCATCTGACGTGCACTCTATATCACAGTATTATTTAATTCTCAAGACTAGAGAATAACTGAAAAGGAGTCATAACATGTTAAAACAACAGTGATTTTAAAAATAAGAAAGAGGTGATTCGCAAATGACTAAAATCACCTAGACCAGTGGTTTTCAACCTATATGTCATGACTCTTTGGGGGTCAAGCAACCCTTCCACCAAGGTCATATATCAGATATCCTATATATCCTATATCAGATATGCATATATTTACATTATGATTCATAACAATAGAAAAATTACAGTTATGAAGAAGCAACAAAAATACATTTTGGGTGGCTACCACAACATGGGAAAATGTACTAATGGATCACAGAATTAGGAATGTTGAGTAGCACCCGTCTAAATTAAGCGGTGCAATTATTCACTGATTCCCTTGGCAAAGAAATTATATTACTTTAAAAACAATAGGTTCTGATTTTGTCATACTAAATTAGTATCTTTGGAATGTATGCACACTTTCTCCTTTTGAAAGCACAGATGAGAACTGAAAATTTTTATGTGGACTAAATTTTATGATTGTTTTCTGTTAATGAAATAAAATCTTTTAAAATTAAAAAAAATAAAAAAGAGGAAGCACCAAGGGATCTTCTTGCATTTTCCCTTTTTTATTCCTAATTTTAAAAAATGCCTCAGGGTGATATATATTCTAGAGCTCAAAAACAATTCTCTACAGATCATTCTGAACTACCTTTAGATAGCCCCGTGAGGTTTAAGCATCTGTCATTGCAAATGGCCCCACTGAACTATTATGGATTCCTCTTTGCCTCCTCCAGCCCTGTGCCACCAAGGACAACATCAGAAGGCAAGGAGACAGTGGGAGTCACCAGAAAGTTAACAAACTTACAGCTAAAGGCAAAAGGAGATGTTGACAATGTGAGAAGTCAAGTCTTCCCACCAGGACCAAGTTAAGACCCGATGCACCAAGAAAGAAGTTACTTTACTAATGACTTTTGGACCATAATAGTCTCATGCATCCATCTGAAGAAGAGACTGTGTTTAATATTTCCTTGGGACTTGAATCACTAACATTTTCAAAGGACATCATAATACTTGCATTTCTATTAGAGATAAATATGTATTTACTTTCTACAAAATAATAGAACTAATAAACATATAGGTCTTTTTTGAGCTTATCTCTAGATTTCTGTGATCAATATAATAATATATTTACAGTAATGGACATGGCTTAGACTTCTGGTCTTGCTGTCAGAGTATATAACATATGATTTTTTCACTGTTCTAATATTGATTGTGTTTATAATTTGGTGTTTATCATATACATATGCAACAAATGACAACTAGATGTACATACAACATCTTAAATCAAAACCACTCTGGATAGTCTATTAAACAATTAAAAAGGGGAAGAAGTCAGTACACGGTTCAGTAATGGCGTCATATGAGGAAAATTCTGAATTCTTATAAGAAAACTCCAAAAAACAAGACAAGAATCTTGTAACCTGTTTCTTCAAAACACAGAATTGTTCTTGGAATCTGTTTTTGTGCACCTCCCCAGGATAGTATATAGGAATGAGTTTACCTCAGATTACTCATTATTGCTTTTTTCATCATTCAATTTAACGATTAAACTATCCTTTCTGTGTCTCTATTAAAAAAAAATGCTTTTGCTACATGTGGCTTGTCCTTGTGATTGTATACAACTTGAACTCATGAGAACTTTACTTATGAGACCTCCCTTAACCTTCAGAGTATAAATTGTCTGAAACACTGAGTATATTTAGCAATTTTAGAAGACTTCAGTCCACCTCATTTATCAGATCCATTCTCCCAAGTCCCACCATGTATAGACCAGGCCGGTGACAATGTAAAACTAATAGAATTATTTGCAATAGTACCTCTGATATCATATCTTTTCTGTCAAAACATCAAAATACTGTTTGCACCCAGGAAATTTAACGATTCATGCAATAGTGCTTAGAAACACACAATATGATTGTTAAGTAGTTGTTCATACCGTCATGAATCCATCCAGCAAACCTGAGTCAGGTTTTGGAGGTGCCTGCAACCGTTCCATAGACCACTTTTCGATGATGGAGGAGACTTGGGTATTCTCTGTATTTAGTATTCTGAACCCTGTCATATTTACACCACTGTATCTGTAGGGCTCCACATCAAGAGCAAAGAGGTCCTGAAACAGAAATTGTCTTGTGTCACCAAAAGCAGACTGAATTAACAAGTTTACAGTACTGAAATCATCACTTCTTATATTCCCCTTATGATACTTAGAGCAGTGATTCCAAGTCTTACAGATCAAATAACCTTATGATTTTACAAAGCAAACGAGTTAGCTTTGTACATGAACATGTATATTGTTTACATTATAAGTTAAGCAACAAAAAATTGGCCTTTCTGAAACATACATTTTGTGTTTCTATAATCTTTCTAGTTTGGCCTTATGTTTTAAGCATGCATATTTTTCTTTACCCTACCTCTTGCTATTTAGTCACATTCTAGTTTTGTTTTGTCTGGTTTACTTTTGCTTCTCTTTTTGCATTTACTTGGAAAAGCCATTTACAAAATAAGGCTGTAATTAAAATCTTTATTTTTCAATATTAATTACACTTTATTCAATTTGTATCCCAGCTGGAGCTCCTTCCCTTATTCCTTCCTAGTCTCACCCTCCCTACCTTATATCCTCCCATGCCCCTCTCCAAGTCAACTGATAGGGGAGGTCCCCCTTCCCTTCCATCTGACCATAGCCTATCAGATCTCATCAGGACTGGCTGTATTGTCTTCATCTGTGGTCTGGTAAGGCTGCTCTTCCCTCATGAAGAGGTGATCAAAGAGTCAGCCACTGAATTCATGTCAGAGACAGTCTCTGTTCCCCTACTAGGGAACCACTTGGATACTGCCATTGAGCTACATCTGAGCAAAGGTTCTAGGTTGTCTCCATGAATGGTCCTTAGTTGGAGTCTCAGTCTCAGAAAAGACCCCTGTGCCCAGATTTTTTGGTTCTGTTGCTTATTTTTAAATTCAATTTTCCTTATCAATTTAACTATTTTTCCTTCTTGGTATATGTTGGCATATATTATTTATTTGCATCTTGAATGAAATATATCTAATCTCTTTGCATTAGTTTATATAAATTGAATACTAAAATTTTAAAGATTATCCTATAGTACAGAAGAACACAACTCAGAACAATGTCAAGTGTTTTCTATTGTATTTTATGCCTATCAATGAAAAGTATAGCAGTACTTTGGTGTGATTATAAGCAAGCAAGTGAAAGACCTGTTTGAAACAAACAAACAAACAAAAACAACAACAACAAAAAAATTCAAGTATCAGAAGAAAGAAATTGAAGAAGATATCAAAAGATGGAAAGATCTCTTGTGCTCATAGATCGGTAGGATTAACATAGTGAAAATGACCATCCTGCCAAAAGCAATCTACAGATTCAATGCAATTCCCATCAAAATACCAACACAATTCTTTACGGACTTTGAAAGAACAATTCTCAACATCATATGGAAAAACAAAAAAAACCCAGAATTTCTAAAATGATCCTGTACAACAACAGATGATCTGAAGGTATCTCCATCCTTGATCTCAAGCTGTACTGTAGAGCAACAGTAATAAAACCTGCATGGTACTGGCATAGAAAAAGAATTGTCGATCAATGGAGTCGAATAGAACACCCAGAAATAAACCCACACATATATTGATACTTGATCTTTTACAAAGAAGCCAAAACCATTCAATGGAAAAAAGACAGCATCTTCAACAAATGGTGCTGGTCTAACTGAATGTCTGCAAGTAGAAAAATGCAAATAGTTTCATATTTATCACCTGGACAAAAGTAAAGAATCTTTTGTCTCAGTGGATCAAAGACCTCAACAAAAACCAGACACACTAAATCTGTTAAAAGAAAAAGTGGGAATTCTACCACTGAACCACCCATGCTGTGCAGAGTGAGTGGAATTTTATGTAAGAAGTGGGAAATAGTAAGAGCTGAAGAGGACAGGAACTCCACAAGGAGAGCAACAGAACAAGAAAATTTGAAAACAGGGAACTTCCCAGAGACTCATACTCCAACCAAGGACTATCTGTGGAGATAACCTAGAACCCTGACAATGCAGCCACTTCTGATGAGAACTGATAGACTAAGATCAGAAAGAAGGAGAGGAGGACCTCCCCTATCAGTGGACTTGGGGAGGGGCATGCATGCAGAAAGGGAGAGAGGGTGGGACCGGGAGGGGAGGAGGGAGGTGCTTATGGGGGGATACAAAATGAATAAAGTGTAATTAATAAAAGTCAAATAAAAAATTTAGAAAAAAGAAAAAGTGGGGAAGAGCCTAGAACTCATTGGAAGAGGAGACAATTTCCTGAACAAAATACCAACAGCACAGGCTCTAAGATCAACCATAAATAAATGGGACTTCATGAAACTGAAAATGTTCCATAAAGCAAAGGACACTGTCATCAGAACAAAACGACAGCCTACAGACTGGGAAAGGATCTTCACCCACCCTACATCTAATAGAAAGTTAATATCCAGAATATATAAATAACTCAAGAAGTTAAAAAGCAACAAAGCAAGTAATCCAATTAAAAAAATGTGTTAAAGAGCTAAACAGAGAATTCTCTGTAGAGGAACATAGAATGACTGAGAAACACTTAAAGAAATGGTGAACATCCTTAGTCATCAGGAAATGCAAATCAAATCGACCCTGAGATTTTACCATTACACCCATCAAAATGGCTAAGATCAAAAACTCAAGGGATGACACATGCTGGAGAGGTTGTAGAGAAAGGGGAACCCTCCTCTATTGCTGGTGGGAATGTGAACTTATGCAACCACTTTGAAAATCAATCTGATGCTTTCTCTGATAATTAGGGATAGTGCTTCCTCAAGATCCAGCTATACCACTACTAAGCATATATCCAAAAGATGCTCAAGTACACAATAAGGACATTTGCTCAACCATGTTTGTAGCAGCTTTATTAATAATAGCCAGAACCTGGAAACAATCAAGTTGTCCCTCAACTGAGGAACGGATACAGAAATTGTGGCACATTTACACAATGGACCACTACTCAGTAATTAAAAACAAGGAAAACATGAAATTTGCAGGCAAATGGTGGGAACTAGAAAAGATCATCCTGAGTGAGGCATTCCAGAAGCAGAAAGACACACATGGTATATACTCATTTAAAAGTAGATAGGAAACATATAATATAGAATAAACATACTAAATTCTGTACATCTAAAGAAGCTAGGCATGAAGGAGGACCCTGGGTAAGATGATCAATGCTCACTCACAAAGGCAAATGGGATGGACATTGGAAGAGGAAGAAAACAGGAAACTGGACAGCAGCTTACCACCTGGGGCCTCTGGAAGACTCTACCCAGCAGGGTATCAAAGCAGATACTGAGGCTTATAACCAGACTTTGGGCAGAGTGCAGGCAATCTTAGCAAAGAAGGGGGAGATAGAAAGACATGGAAGGGATAGGAGCTCCATAATAAGAGCAACAGAACCCAAAAAATCTGGGCACAGGGGTCTTTTCTGAGACTGATATTCCAACCAAGGACCATTCATGGAAATAACAGAACTGCTCAGATGTAGCTCATGGCAGTTCAGTATCCAAGTGGGTGCCCTACTAAGACAAACAGGAATGTCTCTGATATGAACTCAGTGGCTGGCTCTTTGATCACCTCACCCTGAGGGTATGAAGCAGATTTACCAGGACACAGTGGAAGACAATGCAGTCAGTCCGGGTGAGACCTGATAGGCTAGGGTCAGAGGGAAGTGGAGGAGGACCTCCCCTCTTAACGGACTTGGAGAAGGGCATGGGAGGAGATGATGGAGGGATGGATTGGGAGGGGGCAAGGGAAGGAGCTACAGCTGGGATACAAAGTGAATAAACTGTAATTAATATAAAAATAAATTAAAATAAAAAAGAATTAAAGTAGAGAAGTGTAGAAGTAGTTTGTGTTATAACTATCTGAAAATAATTATTTCATTATTTTCTTAACTATGAGACCTGAGGTTTTTCTCAAAAATTCTACAATGATGTTGAATCGAGTTTTAATAGCATTGTCTAGAACTGTGTGATAAGGAAAAATAACCCGTCCATCTTCTTCCTACTACCAAGTTTCTTAGCAAGGATGTTTGATGTAATATAATACTTGCTGTGTCAAGAATCCTGCCTGGATAAATCATTGTCATCACAAAATCTATTGAGAACTACTGGATTTTAATAATGACCCTCAAACCAAGAAAAGTAAGTTTAACATTTTGAACACATAGCAATAATACTGACTGGACTGCTCATCAACAAAATGGAAAAATGCTTCTATATAAATTGTTGAGAAAAATATAAGTAGAGTTTGATGGATGATCTTAGAATAATACTTAAAGTTTTAAATGAAATCAAAGAGTAATTGATTTGGAGAGTAATAAATTAATATTTAAATGATTTGAATTTATACCAATGTCAGAATATCTAGAATTGGTCTATAATAACTATGAATAATATACACACATGCATTTAGTCTTTATTGAAGCAAAGGTGATAATTGATCATTAAAATATGACAATCTAAAGGCAAAAGGAAAATGGGATAGAGGCTGAAAATTGAAAACGGGAAAGAAATGATTAATAATAAAGATAGAAATCTACTTCACAAGAGAAAGAAGACCTCTTAACTGTATGGATTAAAAAAAAAACAAGCATTGCCTCGTGATACACACATATAATCCTAGCACTCATGAGACATAGATAGCATTGCAAGTTCAATAGGACCAAACGAAGGAAGGAAGGAAAAGAGGGAGGGAAGAAAGTGAGAAGAAGGGAAAAAACAAAGTAGGGAAAGAAAGAACAGAAAGGAGGTAAGGGAAGTATCATTCATAAAAAAGAAAAGACAGATTTTCATGTATAATAAAAATGCCATGTGTATTTGAAGACAAACTATGAAGGTAACATGCAATTTTCTGGATGCAAATTAAAGCATGTTAACCTAGAAAGTTAAACTAAGCATAAACAGTTTAATTGACTGAGAGGACATTTTGAAAGCCTAACTTTCAAAATCATAAACACAAATACAATACTAGTCAATAAACAACAACAAAACAAAAATGAGTAGAGAAAAGAGTATAAGACATCGTATTTGCTGAATACATTTTTAGCAAGCTAATTTTCAAATTCATTATGTTCTGAAAGTCTCTGAAGTCCCATAAAACAGATATATCATATTTTTGCTGATATTTGAAATAATATTATTTCAAAATCATCAGCTTCTTCCCAAGAGTTATCAGTTCTGCCTAGGTTTCCAGGTTGTATCAAAATAATATAAAGTACAAGTGCAAACATGTTCTTCATTATAGTACTTTTCACTCAAAAACACATTTTCCCCCCTTTTTTAAGAGTCATGATAATAAAATCTACAGTATTATTTTTAGGTTTTAATAAATTACTTACCAGAGTGGTAAATATATAATGATAGTATTCTGTCATCATTCCCATAGCTAATGCCTAAAAGGTAAAGAATTGAAAGAAACAAAGATATTAATATTGAAGGTGTACATAATGTGAAATATATTATTTAATTATGAAAGGTATTGATATAATAGTACAATTTAATGCATAATTAAACTCAGTTGTTCATGGTACATAAAATTGGATCACATAGAGCTTTCCCCATGGTTAAGAAAAAAATGAGTTGTTATTAAATTAATTTTGAACTAATTCTTCTGACAGCAAAGCTATTCCTTGATTGTTAGCAATTGTAAGGCTTATAATATTACATTTTGATGGCATTAAAACATAAATTAGCACATATTTATCCCTTATATTTCCAATATACCCACTACAAATATTCTAGTGAAGGGCATTCTTTTATCTCATTAGCTTTGTTGAACAATTGGAAGAAAGAGCTGCAAAGAACAGTGTAAAATAGCACTTTTCCCTCCAGCACCCTAGACATGATCACAACATTAATTAAGGAAATGTAAATCATAATTTTAAAAACATATGGACAATTAGAAGAATATTGTACTTTTTTTCAAAGATTAGATAAAAATTGGTTTTGTTTTCTTTTCTACAGCTCTTATTGATTTTTGACTGTCAATGATCTTAGATCATGTTATTTTTGTGCTGAAACTTGTAGTGATGAGAAACATCTGTCATTTTCAACTCTGCAAAAGTAAGAGAAATGAGTAATAACTGACAGTGAGAACTTAAAATCTATGCATTTGTTTAGATGAAGGAAGAGCTCCTAGTTAAATGTAAGTATTCTCATCTAATAGTTTCCCCAAACTACTGACTGTGCAAAAATTATTTGCTAAGTAGCTTTCTCAGCTACAACTTGTGTGAAATGAAGAGGACAGCTTCCTACACTTAGGTAGGACTTCACCAATTAACAGGAATAAAATTACAAAATTTATAATTTATAACACAAATCATTCAGTGAACAAAATATAGTTTCATTAAAAAAAGAAAACATATATAATAATAAATCAATGCTTGGCAAAATAAAACAAGTAAACGCAGGAAATAATTTAGGAAAAAATTGCTGATTTCTATTTTTTTTTAATTAATAACAATTCTATAACTATATAACCTCTGGTTAAATTATCTTAAGCAAAATAAAAGTATATCTTTGTTATTAAACATTTAAATTGCCTGTTACAGTAGAGAATGTTTGCTGCCAATATGTGCAGGAGCCTTCTCATCTCCATGATTAATCAATGACATTCAATATTGTCCTTGTTTCTAAAAACATTAGCTCAAGATATGAAGAAATGGATAAATTAAGAACATGTTGTCCAAATAAAAATACTATTAATATTCCTAAAGTATGTCAGAAGTTAATTATATTGATTATTTAAATTTCTATAAAAACTGATAAAACAGGATCGGATGAATGGGGAGGAGGTCCCCCCCCATCAGTGGACTTGGAAAGGGGCATGGTGGAGATGAAGGAGGGAGGGTGGGATTGGGAGGGAATGAGGGAGCGGGATACAGCTGGGATACAGAGTTAATAAAATGAAACTGATAAGAAAAAAATAAAATAAAAAAATTTAATAAACAGTAAAATTAAAAAAAAACTTTATAAAGTAAGCTCAACTATTATATGCGCTGACAGGAATCTAAGGCATAATAAAAATGAATTAATTCCCTGACAGAGTAAAGATGAATACATCTCTGGTTGTTGTACTGTAGACCTGACTAAAAGACAAACTGAAGAGAATAAATGTGAGAACAAAATTATCTGAATCAATGACCACCTGGAAACACATGTGAGAACTGTCTAGGCTAAATGTAGAGGTTTTTTTTTTTTTTTTTTTTTTTTTTTTTTTTTTTTTTTACCATGCAACAGGTATAATTACAGATTTGACCTATAAGGGGAATAGAAATTACATCTATGGTATGAAAAGCGTGACCTGTGCTGCCAGAAGGAAAGGTATCTTTACAAGAAAAATCAGTATGGCCTCATTCTCCATCACAGATTAAAGAAGGAGGAAGAGGAGGAGGAAGAGGAGGAGGAGGAGGAGGAGGAGGAGGAGGAGGAGGAGGAGAAAACAGCAGCCTGGCTCAGTCTAAATCCAGCTCTAATGTTCGAGAAGATGCATCTTGATATCTTGGGGTCTCTATTAACGATGCCTCCCTACCCCATTCTAAGTGACACAAACTAATTGTATTCCATTTAGATTTCTTCCTACATATTTATCCATGTAATTTTATATGAGTGTATATTATATACTCTCAAAGATGCTGATCCTTTTCTTAAAAAAAATCTAAAAAAAAAAAAAGAAAGTTATTCCTTTTTTGTTGATAACTTGTAACTCCTAGCATTTCAGGCCCGCATATTAAATTGTGCTGCGGAGTTAGGGACGGGAGCTAAGCACATTAGGGGCGAAGGTGGGCTTGCTTCTGACATGAATGTTCTACTGCAGCCATAGGTTTCTTCTTTATTACCTTGAGAAGTCTATAATAATAACTAGGGTGGTTTATGGCTTTATGTGAAAATTTTACAAACTTAGATTTTGAAACCAAGAATCAACTATAATCTATGTGACCTATAGATAGGCTAAAAATATAAGTAGTTATCCGGTAACCTCATGAAGGAAACAAGAGAAGTATTATCTCAAAAGATTATTTCAATTGCCACTCTGTATGTTGTTTCAACTACACATCAACATGTCTCCCCACACTTTAAATTACATAAAAGGAAAAAAAATATGTATCTTCTTACACAAGAATATTATTTGAGAAGCCTAAAAAATATATACTGTGACATACATCATATTTTTATGAAGATCGAATATTAATTTGTTTAAAATAAAACTCTTAGGTATGTGTAGTATTAAGCTGGTTATCTTGTCATCTCGGCATATAATTTGCAAGCCGTTTATTCTAACAGTTAGATTCAGGAATAGTATTGCTCATGCTTAACAAAAATGAAGGCCAAAACATATAATTATATTAACATTAATTTTATTTTGTAACTTCCTGCTCTGCGTGTATTTGCAACAGCCTTTATATTTTTTCAAGATGAAGGTTTTTATTTCACGTTCTCTGATCTGAACTTTGAAGACCTTGATTACAGTGTTCCTGTGTGGTAGAATGTCTTCGTGTGGTTTTACTTCGTGTGGCTTTGCCTTAGGGAGTTCTTTGTGAGAAATCTGAATGGAGGCTGGAGTATCCGTTGCTCAGGCATACCCATCGGTTAATGCATTCAACTTGCCTGTGAGGAAATCTAGTCGGGCCCGAGATCCACTCACTTTTAAAGCTTTCGGGCATAAACAACCTGCTTCAAATTCTTTGTTGCTCAGTGTTTAGTCAAAAGAGAGTTAGTTTGAAGAAACATTTAAAAATTGTAAGAAAACAAGGTTAAACTGTCTAAGGCCACCTTTTTTTGTTTGTTTGTTTTTGTTTTCTTAATTTTTGTTTTGTAATTGAAACACTTTCTGAAAACTCATCCACTTTTCTTTTCAGCTCTGAATGGAAAACATGGGGTAGTCCTGCATTAGCCAATGTTAAAAAATCTCAGAAACACACACGCACACACACACACACACACACACACACACACACCCTCCAGCTCCACCCCACACCGCACTGCACTGCACAGCCAGGCACCACAGGCATGGCAGCGAGGCACATCCTGTTCTGCTTGGCTTTTCAGTGCTTTAATAAACACCATGACCCACACACTTGGGAAAAGAAAGGGCTTATTTGGCTTTTGCTGAGTGATGAAATAGCAACAAAATTATTTTATAGTTGGAGGTCACCACAAATGGAACAAGTGTATTAAAGGATCAAAGCATTAGAAAGGTTGAGAACCATTGCTTTTGAGTAATATCTTATCACTGAGGGAATTTAGAGCAGGAACTAGAGCCAGGAATTGAAGCAAAGTCCAAGAAGGAACCGTGCTTATATGGTCTCTGACTTGCTTTCGGTAGTTATCTTCTACAACCCAGAACCAGCAGGCCAGCAATAACACCCACAGTTGCCTGGGCTCTATTCCCATCAGTCAGAAATCAAGAAAATGCCACACGGGCCAATCTGATGGAGGCAATTCCCTGAGGATATTTAAATATCATTTGTGACTTTGTTTTCATTTTCAAACAGAGCAGGGTTTACACGAGGAAAGATACAAAATGATGGATACATCTAGTAGACGCCTGAATGCACACCCCATGATTAGAGGTTTTCTTGTCTTCCAAACAGCAAGAACAAGTCAGTTAGGTCTTAAAGGTAAAACCTGATCTGTTGCTTGTTTTTTGGAAGCCCAGAGAACAGGTGCAAGCTTGTTGTCTGTCTCTGGAGGAAGGCAAAACCTCCTTTCTAAATATAAGCAAGAGTTGTTTGAAAATCATCTGAAAATATTCACACAAGCTTTTAGTGTTCATTCCATCATTATATTCACACTGAAACAAATCAAAAATCAAAATCAAGCATAATTCCGCATATACTTTATTGCCCACATATAAAGCTAGAGCAATATCCCAATCAATGAAATACTTCACTGTAGTAAAACCAGCATTCATACTGGGCTCCTGAACAAACGTGTGTTTGATAAGCTGACCATGTTACAGCAGCATTTACTATTGGTACTTATATTTAATGGAATATTCATCTGTATCTTCATCACTCTCCACTACAGATATTTTATTCCATGTTTAAAGGCTTTAAACAATTTACTAATTTAGCCAAACCACCATAATGTCAGCCCAGTATTTTATAAGATTAAATGAAAAAAAAGAAAACATAAAGATTTGAGTTCAAATCTAAATTTACAGCTCAGTAAGGGCATGGCATTCTGAATTTATTCTCCAGGCCAGGCGCTCATTTATAAGAGATCCTATTAAATAACTCCTACTCTCTAGATTGCAATTAGGATGATAAAATGTTGGCAATGTGTTATTTTCCTGACAAACGGATAGATTCTGAAATTTCCTTTTCAGTAGGAATGCCTCTAATGCAGAATGAATACTGAGAAAATCACTGAATGGGCTGCTTATTTCTCTGCAACTTCCTTGCTAGTACATGCTGTTCAAGTCACACAGTCTCTCTGAGGTTAGACTGAGATAGCCCGCTTTCCTTTGTTCACAGAGACAATGAAAAAAAGCACATATAAAAGGCATTTAATTAGATAACAGATACAGGCTGAATATGTTCATATTATATTTTATCCTCCTGGCTGGATATGGTATCCATGAACTCTTATTCCTCATTCCAAAATAAAAAAGAAATATGTATATCAATCAACAGACAATTGAAATTAGCCTCAAAATTTCAATCTGTTTTGAAGACCTTCAATAGTTACATTTTCTAAAACAAATTAGCTGAATGCTATTGTCAGCTTGTCTACTGTAAAATTATATCAAGATGATTTCTCTGACCTTTTAGTTATGTAACACTAAATTTTTACCTTTAAAACATAGTGTAAAAAAATTTGTAAGGAAACTAAGAATTTAAGCAGCTTAAAGTTTACCTGTTTTAAGATGCCTGCTGCCATTTCATGGCTACAGTCGAAGATCACATGGAACTCCTTGCCTCTTTTCATTTCTTTCAGTAAAGGCTTTGCATCTTTTGTATCTGCTGGAAGCTGACGGATTTTAAGTCGAAGATTGTACCTTGACGGAGCTTTGATGAGCTCTTGCAAGCGAATGAGACCTTCAATTAAAAAGAAAAAAAAATGAGTAGAAGTAAATCAGAGTAGCTCATAGAATCATGAAATGTTAAGTACAATGTGTGATCTTCTTGGTCGCATGTAGGTTTTTCAGTGCAGGGAATGGCAGTAGCATTGACACATCTTTCTTTTTATGTATGTTTTCTTTTAAACAGTGTTTTATTATGTCATCTAATATGTCCTGAAATGTCCTATGAATTCAAGCTGGCCATGGATTCCCGGTGATCCTCCTGCCTCGGCTTCCTGAGTTCTGTATAAGTTTGTGATGTAAGCATGGTAACAGAACATGCAATTTCAGATATTAATACAGTGAGCCTTCTCCTAGACAAACATGTTTCAGTGATGGCTATAAACATATCAAATCACTGATATATTTTAGCAGATCACAAAATAGTTTAAAATAACAGATTGTCATTTATTGATATAAATAATTTCCAAATACTGAAACAGTTAATATTTGATACACAAATCCTTGTTTGTTTGTTTGTTTTTTTAAAAAGCACATAGTTAAAATGTGTGATTGAATTTCTTTGTGGAGTGGCTCAAGTCAAGAAATTTCCTGTCTCCTCCATTTGTAAAAGCTCTTGCATATTTCTGTCACTGTGTTACTACTTCCTATGAGGAAATATTTTAATGAAAATTAGTACCAGAGTAGGAAAAGGAAGGATTTGTAGATAACTAATCTGGCCCTTTTTCTCTCTCGTTTTTCTATGTATATGAGCACATAATGTTGGTAATGTGGATGGAATCAAACTCTACAACTAAAATCCACTGTATATTCATAGAGCCTTCTAGATCATGAGAATAAAACCACAATGTGATATTTTAACCAATGATCAATATTTTAAAATATTCTTATTTTGTCACCAATAAGATACATCATATAAAAATATTATACATAATGTTGGAATCAATTACTAAAAATAGGTGATAATAAAGGTAATAATAAAGCAGAATTTCTAAGAATTACTCATTTAAAATGCCCGTACATTTTTTAACCTAAATCTCTACCTTCTGTATAATATTACAAAAATGCAAACAAATCAGACATTAACCATTACTGGATAAGAATAAGGAAGTTACTCAACCTATTTATTTTACAAGATTATGTCATAATATAAAGTCTACCCTAGCTTGCCTGTTGGGTTTGCATCTGGGTTCAACAATCTAGGATCTGTGTAGATTTCTACAAGATTCTGAGTTCTCTCTAATAGGATAACATTGTCTATGGAGTAACACACAAAACACAGAAAGAAACGTGCCTAAATTAGCCTTCAATAAATTATAATTTACCACTGTTGCTACATTAGCCAACATAGAAAGAATATCAAATATTTTTAAATTGACTCTTGGAAGATATTTTGACACTGATTTAGACAGAAAACAATCTCAAAATTTTTTTGCTATACTTTATTTTTTAATTAATTAATTAGCTTTTTTGTTACAATTTATTCACTTTGTATCCCAGCTCTGTAGCCCCCTCTCTTGTCTCCTCACAGTCCCACCTACCCTCTCTCTTCTCCCCATAGGCCCCTTCCCAAGCCTACTGATAGGAGAGGACCTCCTCCCCTTTTATCTGATCTTAGCCCATTAGGTCTCATCAGGGCTAGCTGCATCTTTCTCTGTGGCCTGGCAAGGCTGTACTCCCCAAAGGAAGGTGATCAAAGAGCAGGTCACTAAATTCATATCAGAGACAGACCCTGCCCCCCTTACTAGGGAACCCACTTGGAAAATGAGTAGCCTATGGGCTTCCTCTGAGCAGGGGGTCTACGTCTTCATGCATGGTCCTTGGTTATAGTATTGGTCTCTGCAGGGTCCCTGGGGCCAGGTTTTTGGCTCTGTAGGTCTCCTTGTGGAGTTCCTGTCCCCTCCAGGCCTTTTTATCTCCTTCTTCCAAAAGTTTTCCTGCAATCTGCCCAAAGTTTGGTATGAGTCTCAGTATCTCCTTCAATACTCTGATTGGCAGAGTCTTTCAGAGGCCATTTGCTCAACTATGTTCATAGCAGCTTTATTCATAATAGTCAGAATCGGGAACAAAAAAAACTTAGATGTCTCTCAACTGAAGAATGAATACAGAAATTGTGGTGCATTTACAAAATGGAATTCTACTCAACAATTAAATAACAAGGAAATCGTGAAATTTGCAGACAAATGGTGAGAACTAGAAAATATCATCCCAAGTGAGGGTAACCCAGAAGCAGAAAAACACATATGGTATATACTCAGTTATAAATGGATATTAGCCGTATAATCTAGGATAAACATACTGAAATCTATAGTCCTTAATCTCAAAAATTTAAAGAACATTTTTGGGAGGTTAAAGTGTTAGCAAAGGAGAAAAGAGCTATCATGTTACAAATTAACTCAACAGTTTGGATTGAAAAAGCTCAGCTGACTCAGAAATAGACATTTTCAGAAGAATAGTGTTTGCAGAGCTCCTCCTAAATATAAAGCCTGCCAAGTATTTTCAAGTCTTTAAAGAGCTCATGTGGATAGTTCATTGAGCTATCAGGTACAATAAATGTTTACTTATTCTCTTCACACATATACATCCCCGCTGGCATTAATGGAACAGATTTCAGCTTGCCAGCTTCCCCGGGGAATGATATTGAAGAGCGAAAAAAATAAATCACTGATGCTAGTAGGAGCTGCTATCTCCTACATGAGAATCTGAGTGAAGTGTTGTCTTCAATTATTCCTTTGACATGTGTTTTGTGCATGATTACTGTACGGTGGACACTGTTTCATAGGTAAATACAATCATTGAAATAATACTTTTTAAATCTAATCTTTAGCTGTATTTGATAGTTTGATGAAAGCATTAATACAGAAATGTAGTATTCATTTGCTTTTCACCTTTAAATACTTGAATGAGAATGGCTCAGTATTTCAATAAGGAAGAAGGAATCTAGAGAGTTTGAAAGTTACATGGAAGCATTTTGTACTCTTGATTTCCTTCACCTTCTACATCGGGTGGCTGGAGTCCTTTTGTGGATTCTAAGCCTTCAGTTGCCCTATCATATGACGTAATTTCTCATCTTCTCGTATGTCTGCTCAGTTTCCTTGCCTTCCTGTTTCCTAATGTTTTAACAGGAATCTTTCGCTGAATTCTAGTATTTAGAATATCTTGAATAAAAAGGAGAGGACTAACAAAGTAGCTTCTCATGCCTTTAAGACATCAAGAGAATGACTATATTCCCACTTACTATATGTGAAGGATTTGATAGCATCCCACTAATTACTTGATGGGATGTATTTTTATTTCATTGCGTCTTTTTATTTTTAACTATTTCTTTTATTTGAGATTATAATATAATTACATAATTTCCCTTTTACATATATACTCTCAAATGCAGAAGTACAGCCTAAATATAAGTTGAAGATGGACATCTAGATGAGGCATGCTAACTGTTGCCAACTAATGATTGCTGTGGGTAGAGAAGTCTTCCCCAAAGAAGAGCACACCAATTCGGTTATTTAATTTCTATTGTATATGTGCATTGTACGTGTTACTGTGTTTCATAACAACAGTTCATACTGGTATGTACTGTACCTTACACTATCGAAACCCACCACCATGTCACTCTGTCTCCCAGGTAGGAAGGAGATCCTCCAAAGAAAGATAAGATTAAACCTTAATCCTGCTCTGTATTCACTTGGTAACGGGGAAAGAAACAAGGTGATGCATCTATTAGACTTAATAAGGGGCTCAGACACTTTGCTTAAAATGTGCTTCATTCAAGTACTTTGCAAACAACATTTCAGAAATATTGTTTACTTAACAAATCTGGCAGCCAGTTATTTAATGACAGAATAGAATTGTAACTCTTTAGAACAGACTTTTAATTAAATACCCCTTTCCCCCTAATGTAATTAGTCTATACAATGATAATAAAAAGAAACTCTGTACAGATGGGTTCCTAAAATCTCACAAAAGGAATTCAATGCAATTACCTCATTTGGTAAATGAGGAACACCCTGTTACCTCTGAATCTATCACTACGTGTATGCCGTTGTTGGTTTTTTTTAACTTTTTATACTCTTTTTTTATTCCAGCAGTGGCAGAAATTAACACTTTCTTTATCATTTAAGGAAAAAGACCTGAGCTGCTCTTTTACAGCCGCTGCCTTCAATTTAGCTTTTAAGGAGAATCCCCAGAAGGAGCCATATATACACACTCCAGTTGGCACCCTCCTCTACAGAGATCAGTCACACCACATCTCAGGTGGGTTCATGTTCCCTTGCCCAGGAAGAGAGTCCGCAGCTTCCTCCTACACCCAGGTATCCATTTCAGCAGTCGAATTAACGAGAGTTTGCCACCTGACTAAATACCCAGGCCTATTTATCACTTCTGTTAATGTAGTCTTTGTTTATGCTAGGTAAGATTCCCAACAAATGCATTTTAATACTGGCAATGTGAAATATGCTACTCTGGATTCAGCGTTTCATCATCGCCCCTTTGTTTAAGTTGAGAAATGGAAAACAATGCATGAGGAGCCAAAGCTTATTATTTTGATGAGTTATTTCTCCTAGAAATGCTTAAGCTACATAGGTGTTTCCGAACATTCTGAATAATGTATGTACACCTATAAAATGCACTTTAACATACATTAATATGTTAAATATATGTATATATTTATTATATATATAATAATATATATCATAATAATATAATTATATATTTATATATTTATATAATTATATAATTTATATATTTTTAAATTTATATATTTATATATTTTTAAATTATATAATTTATAAATTATATAATTTATATAATTATATAATTATATATATAATAATATAATTATAATAATATAATAATAATATATATAATAAATATATATATATTTATATTATAAACAGTGTTTTGCTTCTCTTTGGGCCTACTGAAAGGAGTCAGTGAGCATCCAGGCAACCTGTCCATAAAAAAATAAGCTGTTTAGAGGGAGGGGACACAGCTGGAATACAAACTGAATAAACT